TCACCTGAAAAGATGTTAACTAGAGAGAGGACCCGAAATGTTAAACTGAAAAGGCGGGAATCTCCTAATCTCCCATGAGGATGGAATCCCCAGCTCTTCCTGCAGACCAGTGGACACAGCTGCATCATCATCATCATCATCATCCTCCTCCTCCATGCCACTCCTGGGAGCGACTGCGGCATGGGCGCGACCCGCCGGTTTCTCCCCACCTGAGATGATTCTTTTTAAAAAAGGCATCAAAAAGGAGAAAGATCTCCTGCCCATTTATTTCAGACACCACCCCTCAGCTCAGGGCAGAAGCTCTGGAGGTCAGAGCCCAGCAGGTCCATGAAGCTCAGCACCTGCAGGAGATCTGCACTGGCCCCTTCATCCCGCTCAGCCTGGAGGTGGGCAGGGGAACCCAGGAGGGGTCCCTGCACGTCACTGGTGGATGGGCTGGGTTGGGTGGCATCGTACCTGCCCCAACAACCCTGTCTGAGGGTGAGGGCTTGCCATGAACCACTCCTCAGGGTCTGGGGATGGACAATCGAGACTGTCAGTCAACATTCACCCCAAATTCCGGTGTAACAGATTATCTGGGAATGGATCTATGTGAAATAACCATCAGCTCTGAGTGAAAGAAGTCACAAAAGAGGCCACTTCTGCAAAGAGAAACCCTGGAACTCCAGGGAAGCACCTCATCCACTCTCTGTGCTCCCCTGTGCCAGCCATGGCCATGCCAGGATGCAGGCAGGGCACTGGAGACAGAGGTGGCTTGCCTGGGTGAAAAGGGAGTAACAAATGGGATAGGGATGGCACAAGGAAATTTGAATGGAATTAGACAGGGAGGAAATGTTCCTCTTTATTATAATTTAAGTCCATGCACTTGCTTAATTAACTAAATGTATGGTGCACAGTATGCAGATGAAAAATGCACCCAAACTATTTTTAACACAGTTAAAGAGATGCATTAGGGTTGTAAATTCTAAGTAGGAAACACAAGAATTATGTTGGTTCCTGAGCACACAGCTTTAAAAGTGCCTGAACCCAGGCTGTTTTCTTGCCACTGGTCCAAATGCAGCCCCTTCTTCAGCTCAGGGACCAAAGCTGAGCAGCTCACCCAGGGATCAGCAAATGTGTCTCCAGACACCTCAGACCATGGGGGAGCCCAGTGTGAGCACCTTGCTTAGGCTGGCACAGTGATCCCTCCTGAAATAAGATGGCAGATAGGGACAAAAAATCACTTTCAAGTATTAAACCCTTCCTGTGCACATGACAGGTGACAGAAACCAAGTCAAAAGCACTAGAAGGAAAAAAAAAAAAATCATTCAGAGTAATAAAATGGAAAACTTTTAGGAGCCAAATGCCTACCTGTACAAAGAACTAGATTGAGGTCTAAGTGCTGCTGCACCCCTCAAAAAGCCTGACCTGCTATTTAGACACAGCTCAACTTTTCAAGTTTCAGCTCAACCTTGAACAGAACGAAGCCATGTGCTGCAATGTGAAGGATCTGTCACAAAAAAAAAAAAAAAAAAAAAAAAAAAAAAAAAAAAAGAAGGTGGGAAGAAATAGAAAAGAAAGGTATTGAGAGAAATATTAGGAGAAGGTGAGAATTAAAGAATTAAAGGAGGCTCAGACTTCTGGGAGCCAGAGAGCACCTCTAGCTACACTCAAAAATGGGGCCCACCAGGCTCAGCTGTCCATGGGGTTATGCAAAATATATATTATATATCATATATATCATACACACAGCTCCCAAGAGCAGGTCACCCAGTTGTATCAGTGTAGGAAGAGCTATTAAGTACAAAAATGAATCATAACACAGAAATATAAAATCCTGCTTTTGCTCACAGAGGTAACGCTCTGCTTTTAGAGAGGCAACATCTGAGATGAGACCAGGGCTGGGGGAGTGAGAGATTCCCTGGTTTGAATTTCCCTGATTTCTTATGCATGAAATGGTGAGAAAGGGAATGATAGACAGCAGGAAGAGGTGGGGAATGAAATCAGATGGATTGGATCTAGGATGCAGCACTGGAAATAAATGCAACCTGCACAGGCTTCTCCAGGCAGAGCATCAATGCAGAATCCCATGCAGAACCAGCCTGGGCCTCTGCAGGCAGGAATTTAGCAGAGGTACTTACCCAGAGGCACCTCTCATATTTATTAAAACATCTCCGTGCTGGAAGAGTCCCAATAGTTTTTGTCTTGGCTTTGGGTGCAGGGAGCTGCCTGAGCAGCCCTGGAGCAGCTCCGTGCCTGCAAAGGCAGCTGGGGCTGCAAGCATCTCTGTGAGATAAAATCCAGCCTTGCAGCATCACAAACTCACTCACACTGGAAATAAATCTTCATGCAAGGAAGTCCCTGTGAGCAGCAGGAGCGGGGATATTGGGGTGCTGGCACTAGAGAGGGCTGACTGAAGCCAGGACAGTGGCAGGACAGGGCACCCTCATCCACAGCCTGATTCAGGACTCCCATTCCTGCAGGATGGGGGCTAAAGGTGCTTTTGTGCTCCAGGCTTTGTCACAAAATGAGGTTTGGGGCACAATGGGTCAGAGGGACCCCAACAGCACAGGCAGGGCACTGCACTGGCCTTTGGCACATGGCAATGGCTCCAGCCCTTCCATACAAACTTTGTGACCTTGAGGCAGGCTTGTCATCCTCCCACACCTTTGAATAAGCTTTTCATCTGTCCTGTCTGTCTGCATTACTGACTTCCAGTTACAAAACCCATTCCAACACTCCCAGACCTGGCACAGGCCATGCCAGGCTCACCCGGGCAGCAAGGGGGGATAACTGAGGCATGAGCTTATCCTGGCAGCTTTGTGTGAAGGTTCCCATATCCTTCAGCTCTTCCAGAGCTGTAACGGCAAACTGCCAAGTCTAGACCTGTCCTGGGTACAGTACAGAAAACTGGAGTCTATAGAACTTCCCAATACACTGTAAAAAAAGGATGATATCACCAACTCTTCACAGACATTGGTGCAATTACCACTTCAGCCCTGGATTCAGCCTCCATTTCCCAGCAGGTGCGTGAGGGATGGGGGCAGATGCTGGTTTTACAGGCTCCCTGTGGTGCCACAGCAGATACAAGTGGAGTCACAAGCCCAGAACAAACGCAGCTGCTTGGGCTGGGGGGATGCAGCTACGTGGTGAGAGCCAAGGGGCACTAGGAGCAGCCTGGCACGGGGAACAGGGCAGTTTGGGGTGACCCTGCTCCTGCCCTGGGAGCACTCCTGGCTGCCCAAGCAAATGCCACTGCAGAGAGGCAAACAGGTCAGAAGTTAAGCCAGAGCAGCTGAAGAAGCCAAAGATGTTTGTAAAGCCCTTACAGCCAGAGCTACCCCTGCTGTTTGTCATTTGGCGTTCAGCCCCTTCCATCCCCGTCACTGCCACCCCAGTGTCCCCCAGCTGGGGTCTCACGTGTATTTAACAGAACCTTGCACACAACATCCCACCCTCAGTGCACACACAGGCAATAACCCAGCTGCCAGCATGAACACTCGGCCCCTCCACACCGTTCTGGAAGATTTTGCGACACAAACCACCCACAACTCCAGAGGATGGGCAGGAGCATGAAAGGTGCTCAGGATGCCCAGTGCTGGACTTCACACTCCTCCTGGTAGCTGCAGCTGAGCTCCACAGATGCTCTCACTTCTCCTCTCCCATTTCCCTGGGGAGAGGAGCTTCTCCAAGGACCCCAGCTCGCTGCAGCGCTTGGCAAACCTCCCCCTTCCACCCAGCAAGGATCTCCCCTCTCCCACCGGTCCCACCAACACCTCCAAGGAAGGCCTTAATGTACAAAATGGCTGAGGAGCAGAAAGCACATCCCAACTCCTTATCTTACAGCAGCATAAGAGCAAAAGGATGGAGGGGGGGAAAAAAACCAGAAAAGGCCCCAAAAATCCTTTTGCCGTGGCTGACAGAGGCTCTGGCCATGAGGAAAAACACAAAAACAAAACAAAAAAAGCATTGGCACCAAGGGTACATGAACCTCAGCCTGAGCCCAGGCCTGCAGAAGAGCCCGGTGGGACTGTGGAAAGTCCCAGAGGGAAGGGAGTTGCAGTAACACCGAGATTTATCTTGACCCTCCCTTTGCAATCCTGGGAACAACGGGAAGTCATCTGCACTCCTATGCAGCAATGCTTCAGAGATTCAGGGAATCCTTCTGCCAAACGCGGGTCAGCTGGGCCATTTCTGCCCAAAACCCGGGTACCCGAGGGAGATGAGCACCCAGGGATGCTCCTTTGTTTACCGCTCGGCTGTACAGGCAAGGAGCCCCAGACACTGATTAGCATTTCTTTCTAGACACATCTCCCATTCAGACGCTTCCCACCGGGGACAAGAAATACCTCCAGAACCCTGAGCAGAGCCCCGGCCCCAAACCGACTGCAGCCACCCAGCAGGCAAAGATGGGGCCGGGGAGGGAAGGATGCTGGGGGGTGGGGGGGAGGAGAGACGGTGCCTGAGCAGAGCTTTTTGTTCCTGTGCTCACAGCATTGCTATGGTGATTTCAAGCAAGACGGAGGAACAGTCGCTACCCATCACTCCCGCTGCACCGACCGCATGAGCAGCCCCTTCCCCCGCAAGCAGGAGCGGGCAGGGGGAGACAGGGGCTCGGTGCAGCTCACCTCTCCTAGGAGCCACCCCCCAGCTCTGCAGGGGCAGCTTCTCCCCCCCGCCCCCTTCCCCGGATGGCCATCACCGCCCCGTCCCCGGGCACCGCCTGGGCTGGGGCGAGGGATGCGGGATGCGGGATGCAGCGGCGGCCCGGCCGGGCGGCCCGACTGATCTCGGGGAGGATGTGGGGGAGCGGCTCAGCCTCCGCCCCCCGCAGCATCCCCCGGGGCTCCCCAGCCAGCCCTGGCACCCGGCATCCCTTCCCCGCACCCGCTCTGCAGCTGGAGCATCCCTCCTCTCCGGCGGATTTTGGGGGCTCGGCGGGTGGAGGAGGGCACCCCGACCCGGGGTGGGGGGGGGGGGGGGTTTCTGCCATCAGCTTTGCCCCCCACCCTTTTACTCACACGTATGCGTGGTAAATGAAAGCCCATCCCCGCGGTCTCTCCAGCACATTGTAGAGGAAATTCTGCAGCTTGCGGTAAAAAGCATTTCTTTTGGGGGGCTTCCCGCTGCCCGACACCCCGGAGCGGGGCTTGCTGAGGATGCTGCCCCGCTTGGAGCTCTCAGAACCGGCGATGAGGAGCGCTCCGTCCCGGCTGGAGTCCGGGGCGCCCGGGTCCAGCCCCACGAAGCCCACCTTGAGCTTCTTCTCCGCGGCGGGCCCCGGGTAGACGCCTCCGTTGCGGGATTTCTGCACCATGGTGGCGGCGGGGGGCGGCGGGGCCGGGG